GAAGAATTTTGGAGCTGAGTTTTAGGAATGCACCAGGCAGCTTAAATGTTGCCTCTGGCTTATAACCTTGGGAAAAACATTTCTCCTTAGTTGAGAGACCCTTTCAGTAAAACAGTATTACAGCTCTGGCAAACTTCCCTGACCAGAAACCAGAGCTGGAAAAAAGCAGGGTGTTGTAACATAAGCACTTCACATCGATGTTCGTTTTTGCAATGTTTATGATTTCTCTAGTAGGGTTTTTTCTGTTTTATCTTTTATATATGTAGGCAAGATATTACTAACTTTCTGGCAATGGAGCAACATTGTTGATTATCATGTCTCATTGGCTATTCCTTTTGGAACTGTCGTTTTGAAAGAGTCCTTGTTACCTATCACCTGACAATCATATTATTAATCGGTATTTGTAGTGTGTCCTGTGATTCTTATTGCTGGGTACTGGAGAGCCACTACAGCACCATATCATATTAGAGGCATTTGTGGCCTGCGTCCAGTAGTAAAGATTGAACAGCAATAATGATTTTATAAAACGTCTGCATGAATATAAATAGTTTCAATGTATTCCTTGAGCACCCGAGGAATTTAGCCTCTGATTGAAGTGCTATTAGTTGGTGTTCCTTTTTGGCTTTGAGCTGAACCAGGCTGTCGTACTTCTCCGTGATTTTTGTGATACTGAGTTCAGGTTCAGTTGATTCTCTCTCTAAGATGGAGATTCTCCACTTTCTAAGTTTAAATATTTAAAATGCAGTACAAATGGTTTCTTAAGGAATGAAGATAAATTTTTATTGTACAATAGACAGAAGCCCTCTCACTGTTGCATTATCAGTGATGCTGTGACTCGGACACTCTTAAATCAGTGTTCTTGTTTGGGATGATCAGTCTTACTGGGTTGCCACAACTTCTCTAATGCAGTGGTTCAGGACCATTTAACATGCTATTATAATTGTAAATATATTTATTTAAGTCGTCTTGTTTTGCTTTTCTTTCTTCCCCCTCTAGCTTTCTTTCAAGATGTCTACAGTCCATGAAATTCTAAGCAAGCTTAGCCTTGAAGGAGATGTAAGTATTATTATTCAAACCAGAGTATTATATACTCTGTGTATAATATACTCAGTGTATAGTATTATTCAAACCATTTTCTCTCTCCTTTTTAAATGCCATATCTTGTTTCCTTTACAGGACTCTCTACTAACATTTGTACTGAGCTGTAGAGTGTATAACTTTCCACACATCTCTTCTACTTAAACTGATCTTGACTAAAAGCTTAGTCTACTGTGGTCAGTCTTCAGCCGTGAGGCAGCTGTGAAGCATGGGACAGTTAAGAGATGGCTAGATTTAATGGAAGTTCTGACTGAGCAGCAGCATGAGCAGTACTCGTGTGCTGGGCCCTGTGAGAGAGATCACAGGGCAAACTGAGTAGGTAGTTCAGATCTGTGATCCCCATTTCTTCTGAAGGCACAAATGAGTTCAGGTTGGTTAGAGGAGATGGAAATGGAAATGTGTTTGCTTTTACTGACACCTTCCGAGTTCCACTTTTTTCGATTAAAAATGGAGATTATTAACTAATGAGGAGGACAGTATTGGGGATCTTATTCATGCACTTTTTTCACCAAAACCCAAGTACTTTCAGTGAAAACTATAAAATGAGAAAATAATTTTTTCAAGAGCTATTTTGAAAACCTGAAGAGTCTCCTTTTTGTTGGGGTATTTTCCACCACATTTACACTGTCTGATTTTTTTTTTTTATTGAAATTCCAGAAAGCCACACTCTCTTTGATTTCTCCTGTTGCAACATAACATGGTAGTGTTACCAGTGTAATGTCAACGTATTGTGCTGTGAATTTGTGACTCTGATTTATCACTGAAGGGGAAGTGAATCCCTTTTGTGGTATCATCTCATCGTATTGCTAACGAGCTTACTATAATTTCAGATTTTATAACTGATAACTGCAGAGCAGTTGGTAAAAGCAAACTTTTTGCTTATTTTTGTTACTTACTATGAAATAAATGACACCATTTGATCTTTGTGAAAAGAGCTGTTGCAAAGAACTGGTTAGTGCACTGCAGGTAAGTAGCAAAGCTGATTTTGTATTGCAAAAGTAGTCAACTCCTCAGATTTCTTGGCCATGTTCATTTTGATGGAGAATTCCTTTTGGACTAATGTTTGAGCAATTTAGTCTCATGGGCATAAATATTTATTCCATGATACATATGAGTAGTTGCAAAGGTCAAATTTGAATAGTGTTGTATGCCAGCATTTTCATCAGAAATTCTGCCATAGAATGTCAGAAATAACGGGCAGTATATTTGTTCTATAGATATCAGAATTTCAAAGCTTGACTCTTAAATGATCAGAGATTATTGTTGTTCAAGTCAACCACAATGCAAGTGAAACCACTGCAAACCTCAGTGCAGTTGAAGACACGTTTACGTTGATGTTCTGCAGGTTTTAATTTGGAAGCCAGAACTGTTGAGCAGATAGTTCGCATAAATGATTTGCCCAGTTCCCCTAAGCTATGATTCAGCAAGTTAACTAATGTTGAACACGGTATTCCAGGCACCCATTTTTCTCAACAGTTTTTAACGTTGAGGGCATAGAGTGGTGACAGCTGAACCCAAATCCTGTCTTGTGCAATAAGGCATGTGTGCGTTTTGCTTCAGCAGCATGGCGAGCAATTTCCTTCAAGGCCAAGAAACTGCCTTTATAACCTGAGCCGCTTCCTTCAGCCTGGGACTGCCTCCGCTGTCCTTTAAGGAAAGGAGGAGTTGAGCTGAAGTTAACTCTATGCTTGTAGTTTCTGCAACTTTCTACCAGAGGGAGTGGAAAGATTCGGTGACGAAGATCTTCCTGATGTGCTTGATCACGTACTCGGTCTTTGCACGGGCAGTGAATTGTAGTCAAGGCTGCGTAGGTTACTTGCAGGATGGTGTCAGGGAGGTTGATTTTCAAAGATGATTGGTGATTTTTGTGGGGATGAGGAATACCCAAATGTAGATACCTTGAAGGGGTCCCGTGTTTAGAAGTTAAGCCTTGTCAGCTTTCCTGTTAGTGAAGTATGCCCCTCTGTAGTGTTGAACTCTTCCTGAGAGGATTCACTTCCTCAAGTTCAGAGGAAGTAAAGCAGTTGGAGGATATGTGAAACACTATATATATACATATATATATATATAGAAAAAAAATTTTCTCTGCTTTAGTCTTGCCCATACTACTTGTGCATTTACACATTAGGCTGAACTTTTACTGCCACATCCTGGAAAATTTTGTACTGAACCAAGTGGAAAGTCAATTGGAAAAACTTTCTTGTCTGAAAATTTACAGTACTCCTTAGTGTACCGCAGTAATTTGGGACAGATCCCTATTGTCTGGAATTTAATGACTGTTTTTCATAGGCAGAGTAATTGGCCTGATCAACCCTCCCCCGTGTCCACTCCCCCAAAGTACTTAAGAGAGCCAAGAAACGTCATCTGAGAGAGTGTAGCATCATCTTTGGAGATGCTCCCTTCGCTGGCAGAGTAGCCAGTAGAAAGCTTTTGTCTTTCCTGCATATGTGTACCCGGCACTTCCTGGATCTTTTGACCAGTGTCAGGGGATCTGAATCCCATTTGTTACGTGCATGAGGTGGAAGGACAGAGGAAAAGATGACTCCCAAAGTGCAAATTTACTGTGTATTTTCTCAGTATCCGATATGGTCTTACAGTAGAATATTCTGTCCAAATGGCTCATGAAATATTTAGAGCAGGGTGGAAGGAGAAATGCCCGACTGCTAAGCTCACCAGCAGACTGGTGTCAGATTATCCAGCCCTGTTGGTTAAATAGGGCAGCTACATGGCAGCGTATACCCACCAGCTTTGGTGTGGGAATCTTTCGGGCACGCACATTTCTCTGAAACTGCATTGCACATCTCCATTTACTGTTTTTGTTAGCGCTTCAACTTGCTAACATGAAAGGCTGTGTCTTGTGGTGTGGCTATGGGCAAAACTGTGGCCACTTAGCTAGATTGAGCTGATGGTAAGAGCCAAAAAAAAAAAAAAAGGATGGTTCAGTTTATCAGTGTTTTTTTTGACTCCCCATGTCTGCCGAAGAGCCCAGACCTTCACAAGAAGGCACAGTGGCTGCTGCCAGAGGAATCTGTTCAGGACAGTGTGACCTCTGCATGAAGGTGTAAATGTAATCAAAAAAAGTGGAATTTTGTAGTTAAAATTTGTCCTCCTTTTAATTTTTTGCCTATGAAAAGGCCCTCAAGAGATATTAAGATCACTTAGTCCTGTTTAAGAACGCTGGTTTCTGTTGGAGTTAGGGAGTTGAAAGATTCTGGGGATCCTTACCAGAAAAGCTTAGTCATGCACTCACATGGCAAACGGCTGCGGCAGTGTCTGTTCATAATCACTGCACCTCTCTGCCAGCGGTTTACATCTCTACCGTGGACTCGGCAGAATGGAATATGTGAATATTTCTCAGCTATTTATATGGAAGTCTGTGGTTTAGTTTCATCTGCCCATGCGAGGTGATATGAACGAAAACTGTTACCTTGCATTGAAGCAGCTGAGAAGAGCTCAACCTCTGTCATGCTGACCTCCTGTTTGAGGCTATGATCTTTAGTACAGGACGATAATAAACGGTCAATGAGATCAGCTTACTGTTAAGACAACTACTACCTAAGTCAATGTATCTCCAACTCCTCTGTATCTTTAGCAGAGGTAATTTGAAATGTCATTTAGTTTTATTGGCATCCCGCTGCTTAAAACAAGTATCTGCAGGCACAGTTTCAAAAGGAGAAATTTCTCTCGCTTTCAAGAACTATAGGCTCAAAAAATATATATATATATTGTTATCTTTAAAGCCCATGAGATAGACCACAGAACTTACTCCATTATAACTTACTCGTTGTTAATCTTCCATGTTCCTTTACTTTTTTTAACTGTAACTTGTAATCCAAAATCCAAAATGAAGTATTGGCTTTGCATCTAAAATATTTTAGACTTTTTGCAACAGATGTACAAATCTTCTCGGAATTAGCCTTGAGACCTAGCCAGGCAGTTCCAGATTTTAGCAAATTCAGGTTTAGTGAGTAAATTTGTAATGTGTTAGGTTTAATAATATATAATATCAATTTGTACCTATTATTTCTTATAATAAGCATGGCTGTGAGTGGATCTCACAATATGCATTTGGAGAAATTCTTAGCAGAGTTCCAGTTTCACAAACACCTGGTGGTAGTTCTTGTATTTGGAAAAATATGGCAAATGGCAGTCCCTGAAGGAAGCACACATTGTATTAAGTGCAGTGAGGTACAGGATTTGACTTTTTTTTTTTTCTTTCTCCTTTTTCTTCTTCTAGCATTCTCTCCCTCCAAGTGCTTATGCCACAGTTAAGGCCTACTCAAACTTTGATGCTGACCGGGATGCTGCAGCCCTGGAAACAGCCATCAAGACCAAAGGTGAGGAGTGTGGGCTGTGCCTTTGATTCTACTTGTAAGCTAGAATGCTGGCATGAAAAAACTGGTGTAATGTCTAATAACCAATGTTTTAATGCCCTTAGTCTAGGGTACGTACTTTAGGACACTTTAGACTTCCTAGATTTCACTGATGAAATCTTGACAGAGTGAGGTTTTAAAGCTCTGTAAATATGTGCTTTAGAATATGTTTTGCAAGTTGCTGCCAGAGGTTGTTGAGGTTATCACTGAAAATGTCCTCTTTCTTTTCTTCACTCATTAGTACTTCAAATTCTACTACTTTACTGCCACTGAGAATGAAGTGTCGGTTTCTATGTCAGTGATTGGGACCAAACTTTGAATGATGGATTTCTGCTGGTTTACGGGATTGGATGTTTCTTCTTCCTTTCAGCTCTCCTGACAGCTGAATAGGGCTGATTGGAACACTTTCTCCTCAGTTTTGAACTAGATGCTTATGTGTCTTGGATTGTTTTGGGGTCAGAGAAAGTCCTAGAAACAACAGGACCTAGTTTCTGAAATGATGTTGCAGTATTTCATGGGCAGGACAATGTGGGAGTGCCCTATTTCTCTGGGCCAGGCTCCCAGGTATGCTTCCATCTCATTTTATCAAAAACCAGGATGCACCACTTTCAGTGGGAGGCCGTGACAGAGCGGGGCAGATGCAGCCAGCCGCCTTGAAAAGCTTGGTGTACTGAAAAAAGCAGGACTGCAGAGTGCACAAACTACAATGCCAGAGTAATACCTTGGTAGTGTTTCAGTATGAAAATATATACAAAATCTTACTTCGAAGATTTTTTTTGCCACTAATAACGTCCTCCTTTGAGGAAAGGAATGAGGAGCGAAGTCTTTCAAACGTTGTGCTCTGTTGCTGTCTTTTTCACGGGTCTTGAATGCACTCTGATGTCCCATGAGGGTGTGTTCAGATAACTGCCTTAAATTTCACTAAAGCAATGCTATTTTACACCTTATTTTGAGGGGGGAAAAAGAACCACGACATGAACATCACTTGGCTTCATTTGTTGAACCGATTCAGAGCAGGTAATCACAGCGCGGTTACAGAACGCAGCCGCTGTCGTTTCGGGGCAGCGATCCTGGTCCTGCTCCATAAGGAGGAAAGGGAGTGCCTGGCTTTGACTCTTCTTCTTGGAGAAGAGAAGACTGGGGAGGGGGGGGGATCTCATCAATGTCTACAAGTATCTGAAGGGAGGGTGTCGAGAGGATGAGGCCAGTCTCTTCTCTGTGGTGCCCAGCGACAGGACAAGAGGCAACAGGCAGAAACTGAACCGTCTCCTTCGCTGGAGATGGTCAAAACCCGTCTGGATGCGATCCTGTGCAACCTGCTCTAGAGGACCCTGCTGGAGCAGGGAGATTGGACTAGATGATCTCTAGAGGTCCCTTCCAACCTCAACCATTCTGTGATTCCTCCAGGCCCCAGAAGCAACCGCTGGGTGTAGCGGGAACTGCCCAGTCTTTTGCCTACATGTCAGGAGAGGGAGGAATTTAAAAGCCAACAGTTTCTCATCTGAAAGAAATGCCGACAGTGCATTCTGTCAATGCCAACAAAGCAAATGTTTGACCTGAAAATGTAAAGTGTAAAATAGTGACTATAAAACATCACTCCCCCTTAACAGGCATGAGGCTTACTTTCACAAGGTTTCTTAATTCAACTGGAGAAATCCCTTGCCTACTCACTAAAGCAGGTTCAGTTCAGGTTTTGAATCATTTTAGGGTATATTTTATTTTTAAAATAATCTTCTTACAAGAGAGGAGTAAGTGTCATTGTGCTTGGCAGGAAGTGCTTTGTGTATATGTAGAGTTTTGTCTAGGTTTATTTATGTTTTACAGAACTGATGATAGGGCAAATCTAAACATGTCAAATATCCCATCAGGTTTTCAGGACAGGCACAAATTTACCCATTTTAACATTCAAGCTGTTAATTAGTGCGAATGGAAATTGTAATATCCCTGGCAGTACAAAAGCTTTTCCTGTCAGGAAATTCAGGCTAATATAGTTATTTCACTTTCTCCCAACAAAGATAATCAATTTGCTGAGTTTGGTGTTAAGATATATGGAAACATTTTTAAAGAGAAATGATGCCTGATCCTTTGAACAAATGACAGCAAAACTTATTCATGAACATGCATGTTTGTAGGACTGAGCTTGTCTCTTCTTACTAGCTTGTTATCCAGGAGCTTTTTCTGAAAGGTGACTTTGAAGTGGAGAATCTCTTTAAGGTTTTAGTATTGACTCTTTACACCATAAAGCCTATCTCTTCAGAAGGTATTTCTTGGAGAAATAAAGCAGAAAAGTGTTAGAACCCTTCTTCCAGGTACTGTTTTCTTGTATTTTAAATGCTTGGTTACAGGATATTTTCATCGACTACTTGAGGAAAATGTTCTAGAATGTGAACTCACTAAAATATACTTTTTTTTTTTTTTTTTGCCAAATGAAAATTCTGAATCATCCAGATGAGAATTGATTTGCTACCGAAACCAATGTAAACATCTATACAAAGAAGTTATTCTTCAAGAAAACCATTTGAAAATATTTCTGGTTAAGGGCTTCATAGATTTTATATTAAAAATATGACACTCAGTACATAGCACACCTTCTATGCAGTATCATTGATTCTTCAGCAATTAGTTTGCATTGTATGCTGCAAGTAGAAACGTGCAATGTAAGTGATTATAGAATTGTAAAGAGTTATATGAGTTGCTCATTTTGTTTTAGGGCGATCAGATGCAATAGCTTACAAATAAAAGCACAAGTTCATTTGGCCGTTGAGGTGCCAAGTTTCAAACAAACATGGACATAAGAGAGAAGCCAAGCTTTTGGGGGGCTTGACTCTGTACAGGATAAGGAATTCTGGCACCTGAAACCCATGCCTTTTTGTTTCCAAAAAACTAAGTCTGTACATGGTATAACAGGCCTGTATTTTACAATTCTCAGAACCCTTTCTTGAAACTATATCTCTTAACAGCAATGCTATAGAAGTTGTATCCCATAGCGTCTTATCTCTGGGAAAAATAGTTTGGGGATACCTGCTTCGATTTTTATATAGCAATATGCAAGTACAGTATTGGCGGTCAGGGTGGGCCAGTTTTGAAAGGTTACCATGTAATTATCCATTTGTTTCCAGCAGTACAAAGTCCCTGAACCAGAGTTACGAATCTCTAGTTCAGTGATTGTGTACAAAACTGGTAAAATTTACTTTACCCCAGTTCTTTCCCCTCAAGCAAATGCGTCTGTTGCTTAGCCAGTAAAATATCCGACTGCTCTGTTGTTTATAATGTCTTAAATACTCCAACTTTACTTTTTAGATTAATTCCTTAATGTTTAGTCATCTATTTATCCAGTGTGGGATCTGTGAGAAATACTGTGATATATTTAATGCAACTTTAATGCAATCTGCTAAAAATCTGTGCTGCACAAATAAGGCTTTGCTGGGCTTTGACTGTGGTTGAATTAAATGCAGGTTGCTTATACATATCCAACAGCTGAGAATGGGAGGCGTGCCAGAATGGCTCTAGATTATGCAAACAGTTTGCAGTTAGCAATAATTCAACCCAGAGTTTTTGTAATGCCAATAAGTTGTTACAGTTCCAGCTTGTTCCTATGTAATAAATGTTATTGCTAAGCCAAATTTATTTTTATACTGTTTATTTTTTCTGTAGTGAGTCCATTTGGTGCTTAGCATGGTCTTGGTAAACGTTGGCTTTTTGCTCTATAGGACAAGAGGCCCTTTAATATTGATATAACACAGAGCACAATGGAGCTTTATACAGATTAGCTCAAGTAAATGAGCCTAAATGCTAGAAATCAAGTATTATTACAGCATATGCTAGGCTTCCTTTATTTCTTTATAGGAAAAAAGACTGCTGAAGTGCCTCCCTTCTGTCTGAGAGGTGTTCCCTAGCATTGTGATTTTCTTATGTGCGTCTCATAGTTTGTTGAATAATGTTATTGCTTGACTAATTTGTGAATAGTTGGATACTTGCAGCTCAAACTGTGCAACCTTTTATTGAGGTCTCATGATACACTTTTCTGTTCCAAGACTGGCAGAGTTCGAACACAGGTTCTTTTAGGAAAGTGTTTACAACATACATTTATAATAAATTCATTATATCCAGAAATCGGGAGGTGTAATCCATAGCATGGGTTTTGTAGAAGACTGAATTGACTTTTTTGTGGTGTATTTGACATGCCCATACTTTTTAATCCTTTTTTTTTTTTTTTTTTAATGCTTGGAAGTAAAAGATTAGAGGAAATCGGCCAGCATGTGGTGGAGAAGCGGTAGTGCCAGAAATCCACCATACTGCATCACTCACGTATGCAGAATATTATCAGTAAATAAATATCTCATTGCAACACAAATTGGCAAAATCTTGCTAGGCAGAATTCCAGCGCTGAAATTCTAGTCATGTTTTATCAGAGTTTTTTTTCCCCTTTAACTAAAGTGGGATGGGGATTTTGTCCAAGGATAGTAAGACGCTGCAAATCACAAGCTCAGTGAAATAGTCCTGGGACTGTGTTAGTGCCTGACATACAAAGGTACCCAGGTCTCGCGAGGGCTAATCACCTCCACTTACAATCTCATTTCTCACTAATAATGGAGGCCAGCTGCTATCTTCTCTCATTCGTTCATGTAGGGTGATGATCTCTGTAGTACCTAAATGCTGTTAGGACAGAGAGAGCTTCTAATATTCTGTCCATGCTGACTCGGAAAATAAAAATGAGGAAACACGTTTCTAGTAAATGAGCTGAACAGAGATACGTCACTTCTTGCAGAATAAAGGTATGTTAGCTCTGTTCTTGCCTCTTCCCAGGAAGTTGCGAGGTTGTCTGTATCAGCTGTCTTGTTCAGCACAATGTCAGTGCTGTTGTTTAGGCCCATGGAAATTCAAGTATAGTCTCTTTTAAACCAAAAACAAAAAAATAGAACTGTATCTCATCGTTTTTATGTTCATTTTCTCTTTTCTTGCTGATTAAACCGTAACCCCTTGAACCTATCAGTTTGACAGATGGCCTCTTTAAAAAAGAAAAATCATCATTATTCAACATTCAGCAAGGCTTTTGACACTGTCTCCCATCACATCCTCGTAGGTAAACTCAGGAAGTGTGGGCTAGATGAGTGGACGGTGAGGTAGTTTGAGAACTGGCTGGATGGCAGAGCTCAGAGGGTTGTGGTCAGTGGTGCAGAGTCTAGTTGGAGGCCTGTAGCTAGTGGCGTCCCCCAGGGGTCGGTCCTGGGTCCAGTCTTGTTCAATCATCAGTGACCTGGAGGAAGGCACAGGGTGCACCCTCAGCAAGTTTGCTGATGATACTAAACTGTGGGGAGTGGCTGGCATACCAGAAGGCTGTGCTGCCATTCAGAGGGACCTGGCCAGGCTGGAGAGCTGGGGCAGAGAGGAACCTCCTGAAGTTCAACAAAGGCAAGTGCGGGGTCCTGCACCTCAGGAAGAATAATCCCATGGCCCAGGACAGGCTGGGGGTTGACCTGCTGGAAAGGTGCTCTGCAGAGAAGGACCTGGGAGTGCTGGTGGACAACAAGTTAACCATGAGGCAGCAGTGTGCCCTTGTGGCCAAGAAGGCCAATGGTCTCCTGGGGTGCATTAGGCAGAGTGTTGCCAGCAGGTGGAGGGAGGTGATCCTGCCCCTCTACTCAGCCCTGGGGAGGCCTCACCTGGAGTCCTGTGTCCAGTT